AAACTGTGGGGGCTCCATCCTTACCCTTGGAACTTACAGCGGTTTGGTCACCTATAGAAGCTGAAATAATTACTTGAACCCGGTTAAAGGCCTATTATGCAGGTAGGATACCGGTTATATGGTGGCTATTGAAATAACCCTGGATTACATGTGATTAAGAGAAAAACGGTGGATATTCGTACCTTCATAGTTATTACAGTCTTTGACGGTCGCTTGACGAATACCGTCGCTCGACGAATACTAAATATAGTAGGTAGTTATACTATATACAGAAAGCCAAGAAAATTAAATCAGACTTCGAGTGAACTCCCTGCCTGTGAACTTCTAGCCCTTTTTCCCGCTTTTTGGGTATCCAACTCATTCCTTTTCCGCTTTAACTGTACTAATACATCTACATTCTCAATTACACAGGCCTCATTGGTATTAAGGCGCCGCTTATCTGGCTTTGTTTTTTCTATGTGCTGCTTGATCTGCTCCCTCAAGTACTCCTCACCCGCTTCATGCAAGGCGGCTTTGGCAGCGCATTTCTCGGCGCTCATCTTGAACCCTGTGAATAGGGCGCGCTGGAATCTGGAGCGGGGACTACTAGATAGGATTGTGGAAAGACACTCTACATAGTAATTGTGTATAGAGCGGGGTGTAGTAGGGACAATAATAGGGTGCGTTAGGAGCTGGTGAGTTGACCTGACGGGTGGTGGTGTAGGTGGTGGATGATTTTCTCGCTCATTCACCCTAGGGTCAGGGAGTGGAATATTGAATAGGACTTGAGTGGGTTCATAAGGTGAAATTCCGGTGCGGCGAAAACCTGCTGCAATATTACTTGCAGTAAATGCCTTTTCATGCGCTTTTGCTGTAACGGCAGCTATGTATCTTTGACTAGGTGATAGACTGGAACGAGGAAAGGAGGTATTGTGTAGTGGTATTAGGATTTGTAATGGGGATTTCTGTTACGTTCTTTTAGTTTCTGTTACGCGGAGATATTAGTCATCATTGGGCTATGGTTGGATATATAAGGGGGCGTTGTCTTGTGTTTTTATCTGTTTTCCTTCTCTTCTTTCTTCTTTACGCAACTACTGTATTTATTCCACGAATACTATTCTTTGTCCGCACTACGTCATAGGGCTCTAACCGGTTTATCATACCAGGCAGAGCCACCCCATAGTCCATAGTCAAAGCATACCTTTACGTCTACGTTCACATCTACGTTACTACCTAGGTTGTATTCCTTGGCACCACAGTCTATTGCCTATAGCCCCCGTGATACGTAGGTTGCGTCCTCTATCGCCAACCAATACAACACCATAGTCTACAATGTCGGAACATGTCCATGTCGATTATCAACAACTCAATGATAATCTCCAAAGATTTTTTGAAGCGCATCCACAGGTCGATCACGTTGTCGGAGCTGAAGCCTATGCGCTCCTTCAACAGTGTCAAAATGGTCTTATCCAATACGCAACGGATTTACAGGAGGTAGAAGCGGAAGCTGAGAGGGCAAGAAGGATGTTTGAACGAGATCTTACTGCTGCCCGAGCTCAACGAACTGCTGTTGAGGTTGTGGCCCCTGACGAAGAACCTATTGGAAACAATGCTCCACCTGTACCCCCAGCACCCCCAGTTACAGGTACCACCTATCGGTCGGAGAAACTCCCAGACCCCGACGTGTTCAGAGGGGATCGTGATCGAGAAAGGTTACACTTATTTAAACAACAAATGAAAATTAAGTTACTAGGAAACATCGATCGCTATCCCACCCTACAGTCTAAACTATCATATGCGTTCATCAGATTGGAAGGCGCTGCTGCCAATCAGTTCTTACAGTACATGGGAGAAGAAGGTATTGCCTTACCCTCTATGACACGGTTTTATGAGATTCTGGATACAGCTTTTGGAGACCCCGATCGAATGCGTACAGCTAGGAGGAATCTTCGAAACATCAGACAACGCACTCGAACCTTTGCCGATTATTTCGCTGAATTTCAACGGTATGCTGCTGAGTCGGGTATGGATGAAGTCTCTCGGATTGAGGCTTTGATGGAAGGAATTAATGGGGAACTGGATGAATCGATGATACACCATGAGACTCCTGCAACGGTAGATGGTTGTGCAACACTCTTGCAACGGTTAGATAACCGACGACGCGCAGCGGAAGCTAAGCGAGGTAGTAAAAAACCTTGGACTACTACTGCGACCCCGGCTCCGCGTCCTCCACCAACAAATCCTGTTCCTGTTCCCCGTCCTGCTGCCCCTGCTGCCAACCCACCTGCCACTGAGAATCACCCCTCGTTCCGTCCTGGAGGTGATGTACCCATGGATCTGTCTGGAGGACGTCGTCGCCCTACCCCTGCCGAAAGAAACGCCCGCTTAGTTGAGGGCCGATGTTTCTATTGCGGAGGTGTTGGACATATGGTTAGGGATTGCCCCCAAGCGAGGGCAACGGGAAACCAACCAAGGAGGCCTGTTATGAGAGGAGCAGCGTTGACGATGGAAGAAAATGACGGAAGCGATAACGAGTCGGCAAAAGATTTGTCCCTGCACTAAGTGGCTTAGCCCAGGGACCATTTAAGGATTTTTCTAGGATGTGTATTTCTGGTTTTTCGGTATCAGAGGAGGAAATGGATGGAAATCAACTTGTAGTAACTTGTTCGATTTCACAGAATAAAAATTCTTTCATACCTACCTACGCCCTTATTGATACCGGAGCATCAGGATATGCTTTTATTGATGAATCTTTTGCACGCCACAACAATCTTACAATGACCCCCCTCAAAATACCCCGCCATGTAGACGTTATAGATGGAAGGCCTATTAAGTCAGGAAAAATTACCCACATTGTCGATGTCTCGCTAGACATTCATGGTCATCGGGAAGTTGCGCCATGTTTTGTAACAAAGTTAGGACATTATCCGATTGTGATGGGGATACCTTGGATGCGACGACATGATGTTACGATTCGACCAAAAGAAAATCTACTTGTTTTTGACTCTCGAAACTGTTGTCAATACTGTTCACTCAATGGAACTGCAGTCATTGTTCATGGTATCTCGATTCCCTTACCGGAACACCATACGGTCATTGTTTCAGCAACCGAAAAATCTACGGTCAACATTGAACAATTAGTACCGAAAGAGTTTCACCATCGTCTCCATATGTTCAAAGAATATGACGCTTCGATTCTCCCACCACATCGACCATCCCATGACATCGAGATAGTATTGGAAGAAGGAAAACGACCACCATATGGACCTATATATGGATTGTCTCAAATTGAGTTGAAAGCACTACGGGAATATCTTGATGAAAATTTACCTAAAGGATTCATTCGGGCCAGTGAATCACCAGCGGGAGCACCTATATTGTTCGTAAAGAAAAACGATGGAACTCTTCGACTTTGTGTTGACTATCGAGGCCTAAATGCGATCACAATTAAAAATCGATATCCGTTACCATTGTTAAAGGAAACCCTAGCTAAGTTGTAAAGAGCAAAATACTATACGAAATTGGATTTACGTTGGGGATATAATCAAATCAGGATAGCGGAGGGAGATGAATGGAAAACGGCATTTCGAACTCGATATGGACATTTCGAATATACAGTAATGCCATTTGGATTAGCTAATGCCCCTGCAACATTTCAACATTGGATCAATGATATTTTACGTCCCTATCTCGACCAATTTGTAACGGCATACTTAGACGATATTCTCATCTATTCCGAAACTCTACCAGAACATAAAGAACACATTCAAAGGGTTCTAGAGGTACTTGATGAGAATCATGTTCACCTTAAACCTGAAAAGTGTGAATTTATGGTTCAGGAAACGAAATATCTCGGTTTAATTCTTACTCCAAATGGAAATAGAATGGACCCAAAGAAGGTTATTGATGTTTTGGAATGGACTACACCGACAAATCTTCGTGATGTTCAAGTATTTCTAGGATTTGCAAATTTCTATCGGCGATTTATTTTAGGATATTCGAAAATTGTTGCTCCACTTACAGCCTTGACGAAGAAGAATGTTAAATTTGATTGGACGGATGAAAGGGAGGAAGCATTTCAAACTTTGAAAAAGATGTTTACAACGGCGCCAATCCTAGCTCATTTTAATCCGGATCGAAAAATTGTGATAGAAACCGATGCATCCGACTATGTTTCAGCAGGAATCCTATCTCAACGTGACAACGAAGGAATCCTACATCCAGTTGCTTTCTTTTCCAAGAAACATTCTCCTGCAGAATGCAACTACGAAATCTACGACAAAGAACTTTTAGCAATTATACGATGTTTCGAAGAATGGCGACATCACCTGGAGGGAGCTCAATTTCCAATTGAAGTTCTTAGCGACCATCGGAATCTTGAATATTTTATGACAACAAAATTGTTAAATCGTCGACAAGCCCGTTGGTCTGAATTTCTTTCACGCTTTGATTTCGTTATACAATTTCGACCAGGAAAACAAGGAACAAAACCAGATGCATTAACTAGGAGGTCAGGTGACCTACCTAAAGAGGGGGATGAACGGTTGACACATCAGAGTCAAGTGATTCTGAAGCGAAAAAATTTGGATACTAAGCTAAGTTTGTTCGCGGGTTCTTTGTCAAATGAATCCGCTGAAGGAGCGTCCACTGTAGAGGAGTTATTTTCAAAAGCTTACCAAGTGGATAGTTTCCCAAATAAGATCCTCGCTATGCTCCGGAACGGCGTTCGTCACTCGAATAAGATTTCACTCGCCGAATGTATAGAAGATAACAACGGTCGGCTACTTTATCGAGGCATGCTATATGTACCAGACGACGATGACCTTCGACTAAGGCTTTTAAAAGAACACCATGATAAACCATCTGCAGGACATCCAGGTAGAGCGAAGACTCTGGAGCTCCTAAGTCGAGAATATTACTAGCCACAGATGCGGAAGTTCGTCGATCAGTATATCAGGAATTGCAATGTGTGCATCCGTAGCAAGGCATCACACAATGCACCTTATGGAGTACTTCGCCCCATGCCAATCCCCGATGGGCCCTGGACAGATGTCTCGATGGATTTTGTGACTGATCTTCCTGAGAGTGATGGGTATAATGCGATTTTGGTTGTGGTAGATAGACTAACCAAAATGCGGCATCTGATACCAACGACAAAGGAGGCGGATTCACGAGAAGTAGCAAAGCTGTATATTGATAACGTCTGGAAACTACATGGATTACCCGACACTATGGTATCCGATCGAGGAACACAGTTCGTTGCGGAATTTTGGAGGTCCCTTTGTGATCGACTGGAAATCTCGCCAAAATTCTCTACTGCATTCCACCCCCAAACAGATGGACAGACAGAAAGAATCAATGCCATAATGGAACAATACCTCCGAAGCTATGTTTCCTATCAACAAGACGACTGGGTCCGATGGCTACCGATGGCTGAATTTGCAACCAACAACCACGTTTCCGAAACAACAAAAGTTTCCCCCTTTTATGCTAATTCGGGAAGAAATCCTAGGATAACATTTGGGCCTTTGGAACATGGTAGAACGACGGCGGAAGATCAAGCTAATAGCATTGCGCGAGAAATGAAGGATATCATCAACTTCTTACGGAATGAGATGTTTCGGGCGCAAAGAATACAGGAAGAATCAGCCAATAGGAATCGGACTCCAGCTCCTCGATACCATTTAGGAGATAAAGTTTTCCTATCGACCCGTCATATTCTAACAAAACGACCTTCCAAGAAATTCGACTGGAAACGTATTGGACCTTATAACGTTAAGCGCATTGTCAATCCCTATGCTTACGAGTTGGAACTTCCCCGGTCAATGAAAATTCATCCAATATTTCATGTTTCGCTATTGTCACCCGATGTGAATGATCCCTTACCGGGACAACAACAGTTGCCACCACCTCCGGTTGAAATCGAAGGAGAGGAAGAATGGGAAGTCGAGGATATCTTGGATTCGAGGAAACGAAGAGGAAGATTTGAGTATTTGGTACGATATATGGGATATGATGAAGCCTCCTGGCAACCACTATCGGACCTTGAGCATTCACCTGATATCGTTAAACGATTCCATGAGCGTTATCCAGGGAAGCCTAAGCCTACCAGGAGGTAGGCCTTAGAAGGGGGCGTGGTCTGTAACGGCAGTTATGTATCTTTGACTAGGTGATAGACTGGAACGAGGAAAGGAGGTATTGTGTAGTGGTATTAGGATTTGTAATGGGGATTTCTGTTACGTTCTTTTAGTTTCTGTTACGCGGAGATATTAGTCATCATTGGGCTATGGTTGGATATATAAGGGGGCGTTGTCTTGTGTTTTTATCTGTTTTCCTTCTCTTCTTTCTTCTTTACGCAACTACTGTATTTATTCCACGAATACTATTCTTTGTCCGCACTACGTCATAGGGCTCTAACCGGTTTATCATACCAGGCAGAGCCACCCCATAGTCCATAGTCAAAGCATACCTTTACGTCTACGTTCACATCTACGTTACTACCTAGGTTGTATTCCTTGGCACCACAGTCTATTGCCTATAGCCCCCGTGATATTTGCAAAGATTTCCGGAAATTTGCTTTTGTCTATCGCTACCCTTAGGTTTAGTACTTCTTGTGAATAGTACTTTTGCATAGCAGAAAATACACCCACATCTAGCGGTTGCAAGACGTGAGATGTATGTGCTGGAAGGCAAAAGGGTAAAATCTTCTTCTGAAGGCAGAACTCAATCAACTCAACGTTGAGGTGTGATTCAAAGCCATCAAATATCAGCAACCGCCATTCACCATACGATCTATTACAGTTAGTTAAAATTCTTATTTTACTTTTAGAGGTAGTTTCTACTTGCCTGTGAGCAGTCTCGGGTTCAAATATTTTAACAATATACTCTAAACAGAGCTGACTATTGTTGTATCCTTTCTTTGAATACCCAAACCAGAAATTATGATTGTCCGCCGAACTCTCTTTATACCAGCCCGCGATATGGCTTAACCCTTTGAAAATAATTAAAGGTGTGACAAAAAATCCATCCGGAGCTACCGTTTCTACTACTGTACAAGATTCTCGTACCCGATGCTCTTTAAAAACGTGGTCTCTGCGTACGTTCCGACAAATTCGTTTTGTAATGTCTCCGATACCCATAATAAATCCCTTTTCGTCTAGATTATAGGTATTTCTCGGCGCAATTTCATACTTTTCTATCGCTTTCCGTAGCTACTCGTATATAAACCATGTTAACTTGAACATGTAACTCAAATATCATGACATACTTAATTTAAAGGAGAGAATACCTTCCAAAAAAAATCATCCATTACATCCCAACTATATGCATTTGCTCTATTGGTACCAATAGTTTTTGTAAGAACGTATCGGCATTCTGGGTGTCTGCCGAGAAAACGGTAGATCCAGTTTTTTCCTAGAGTTGGTAGGGTCTCATCAGGGTTTGTGGTTTTGCGGCGACGCAATAGGTTATTGGCTAAACTGTAGAAGAGTGTCCGGTCGGCTGGAACACAAAAGTCATCAAGAAATAAAAGTCTCTCCACTAAAGCCTCCTCCTCCGCTGGTGTCAAAAGCTGTTGATCTTGGTGAATTTCTTCGAGAGTTTTGTGGTTAGGCTTTTTAATATGACGCCGAAGAGTTGCTTCAGAAACCCCGTAGAGCTTCGCTATACGCAAAACTACTGGGGTCTTCCCCTCGCGTAACTCTGCATAGTAGTGACTGAGTGCGAACATCAAACACTCATATTTGCTGTAGCGGCGGCTGTGGTCAACAACGGGAAGTTCAGGGTTCAAAGGCTGCTCCATTATTATTTTCACTTTCACTGTCACTACAGAACTACTCTGGCCGTCGTCAAACTCCATTAATATACTAACAACAAAGTTCTTCGCGGTTCTTCACTCTTCCATACATTGTCTTGGCCAGCCACTTGATATTCGCCTACCCCTGTTCGTCGAGCGACGGTATTCGTCAAGCGACCGTCAAAGACTGTACATATCAGCCTGTGATTTCTTATCTATGTACCGGGGTCAACCATAAATACCGAGAATCTGATAAGATAAACACACCTATTTCACAGAAATATTCTCTTATCAGATTCTTCGTATTTACCCTCAACGCCCGGTACTGCGTTGTATTGTGAACGTACAGTTTTGTGGTTTTGTCTGATGTCGGAGACCGAGTGATCTCTCGTGACCTCAGCCCCAGGTGCGGGGAAGCCAACATACTCCTGGAACATCTTCCCGACAGGTCCGTTCGATTCATATTTTCATCCATTTAAGCATCTGCTCCGACATCGACAAATTCAGAAATGAAATGATGAGCCTTAGGAGTGCCCCCACATATCCATTCCATCCAACGGTTAGTATCCATTCCCCACACCCGTCTTCCGGATTAATTTGCGCAAGTCGAAACGGGCATTGATGCATAAACCTAAAAGTTTAAGTTTGTGTACGCATCCCAAGAAAGAAGCGCTTGACATATAACGTGGTCGGCGTTATATTCGCCGAGTCCTAGGGGTATATTTCAGGAGCTTCCAATTGGCCCATCTCGACTTCAACTGACAGCTTCATGCAGGCACTACAGGCACTACCTATAGTTCATCTAAAGTGTGTATTCAGCTCTGAGTGGAGGTTCTTGTGTTGCATAATGTGCCCTCGGCGTTAGAATTCCGAGATGTTAGGTCACAATGGTCACAATGGTTTCGTTGTCTCGTGCTTCCACGGTCAAATACTTGACTACTCTCCAGAAACCAACATCATGCTTTCGCATATATGTCCGAGCTCTCCTTCTGGTAATTGCAATCAATAAACCGTACCGTCAATTCCGAACATACGCATATTCTCCGACTACACGACTCGAAATTCGACATGGATGTAGCGTCAACTATAGTGCCGTACATCTGGATGTGGAGGCCGGACGATGATTATGGAGAGGTTGAGAGAAGGTTACTAATTAAGATGGCGCTGCAATCATATACAATCCCTTGGTACGCCGCTATATCCAATAACAGCTGTTCATTAACGTATCCCTTATACTGGTGAAGCTGCCAACGCTCCCTTGTATCATATCTCAATTCTATGGTTTCGTGCGAAGCTTGCCTGATATTACCACGCCTCAAATCGCAAAGCAACAGCTTAAGGGATCCCGTGTAGCAATGCATGTAGCAATAAGCGGTCATCCGTACAATAACCCAACGAGCTGATAGCTCATGCTATCCATTGGGGTTAATTAGAGGGTAGTAAACTACACGTAGTTCCCTGCAAACTCTTTACGCTCAGCCTCAGTACAGTGTCGATGGCTATTATGTAGCTTAGGCGGAAATGCTGTACACACGCATGCCTGATGGGAAAACTAAAGAGAAAACTAGATGGAATGTATATGTACGTGGACTGGAACAAACATATATGCGCTGTCAAGTACGTATACTTTGCTGACGCGAACACAATACTGAATAGGGGGGTTTTTGTGATTAGTTGGCTTCATGTCGACATACTCTTCACCGTGCCAAGAACATTTTTATATTGGTATTCATCGGTAAAGACTCCGTTCATTTGATGAGCTAAATAAATTCGCAATTCTTCGGCATCTCTTTGAGATATTCCACTCATCGTTTGAACTTTGACATGCTATAGCTTCTTGTGGCCAGCTCACAGAAAAGGTGCTTATATCAGACCTATACTAGTAAATAAATCAGACATATACCATATACCCTCTTGGTAAACTAAATAGGCGATGACTCCACAGTTGCAGTGCCTATAGCTTCGGAATAATACCGCATCATTCGGAGAGGTAATGACCCGAAGCTTAGAAGAAGCTCCGGCCCGTCAGAGTGCATTTCTGATGCGTGGTTTTTATAAACGTGCTCAATGCTCGTGATAATGCTCATGATAATGCTCGTGATAATGCTCGAAGCCAATGGAATTTGATAAAGTCAGCCGATTTGTATATGAGACACAAAACAACGAAGATATGTCTATATAAATGGAGTGATTGTTCTTTCGACTTCATGTCATGTTGTTGCCACTGCAAAAAACACGAGAGCCTACGTATGTGCATGTAGGTACACTCAATACCACCCCACACATATATATCGAACTCTCATCTAATGTAACAGACACTCGGATTCGGAGTTTGATTGGCTTCTATAGATTGCAAGCGAGCCGCTAGGGTAACGTCGCATGGGACCGATCCGTTCCGGACTCAGGGAACTCTAGCTCCATATCCCGAGCAAAAATCATGAAAGGAGACATGGAGTCGAATAGGTATAGGCCACTTAATCTATCAAATCATATTAAAGCCAAGCCTTTATCTATAATATTTATATTTATATTACCAAGGTTATGAAATTGTATATGTTACTCGGCCAATATCCGCTCAGTTGGCCGATAATTAAAACTCCTTTACTCCTGAGCCAAAATTACCGAAGCTGGTTTTAGTGAAATCTCTCGCTTGGTCATTGGATATTAAAGATTCCCGGGGATATCAAGAGCCGAACAAATCTTTTATATTGTGTGTATGTTGAATTCGGGCATTGTTATCACGGAGGACTATGGAGCCCCCAGGGTGCGTACGTCACCCAACCCCCAGTGAAAGTAGCTACCGATGGATGTAGAGTATTGCCTCAAGTATCTTGTTCTTCCAGTTTCCTCGGTCGTGCGAATCGCCTTGTAGTGATAGTGAATCTACTACCATCCTACCAGGTCGACGATATTCCCGAGTCTCATGCAAGGCTTCTAGAAGGCAAGGCGTTCCAATCAAGTACCTCAAACAACCCTAGTAGTTATCTTATCTCCAGGTCGTGTTTTAATTATCCGGTAAACACAACGCCATCTTGAATCCCCAACCAAACACTTCGTTCGGATTCGCCCTGCGCAGAAAGATTAGCCGACTTGAAGATCTCACAGATCAAATGCACCAGTAACGGCACGATCCGAAGTGATAAGCGATTTACGCATCTCTATGTAGGTACAGCAGTCGGATTGCAAAGGCAGGTCATCCTATCTGTCTTCAGGACAAACAAGCTTTATGCCGACGATCACATATAGCCATTGGGATGCTCCGACGTTGGAAAGCGTTGGTTGTGAGGACTTTTGTGAGTAGTGAAGTCAGTGCTTGGCTTACCAAAGACAATGATTCGAGGGTTGAGGTCCCTGGCCGATCTTAAAAAACATCGGATGGATTTCGAGATAAGATAAGGCATGATGACTCAATGTTATAGATCTAGATTAGATAATGAGACAATAGACCCAAATATGCCCCACACTGCCCCTCCCCATTCTGCTCCTTCGTTCCCCCCGACAACAATTCTCCTCTCCAAATTACACCGAAATAATGGATCTTGTTAACCAGTGAGTACAGAGCTCAATTGAACTTTTTCTACAAGTAATTTGTGTTGACTCGCGTCCTTACAGCTTAAATGACCGTCTCCTCTTTGCGGTACCCAAAAGTTCGTTGCGTCTTCTCCAGTCATTGATCTATCTGCCACCTAATGCTAACAGAATTTTCTTCAATTAAAAAATAGAGGGCCGTCTCCACCAAAGCTGCCTGGATCTCCTCCACGGATCCGATATCCAATTTCACCGTCACTCAAGATTAGACATAGCGCTATGCCTCAACCTCCCTATAGCCCTGGTCTTCCTCCCAGCAGCCGACATTCCCCGTTTCGTTGGTGAGGGAAGAGTCGACTTAGGTATTACCGGTCGCGACCAAGTTGTCGAATCCCAAGTTGACGTCGAGGAGATCCTGGACCTCGGATTCGGTTCTTGCAAGCTCCAGGTCCAGGTTCCGGAGATGGGCGATTACACTGACCCGAGCCAATTGATCGGAAAGAACATTGTCACTAGCTTCACTGGTCTCTCTAGCGCTTACTTTGCAAAGCTTGAGAAGGAACAATCCGACGCCAAGATGACAAATGGAAACACTGTGCTGGCCCCCGGAGAGATCTCACGCCCGACCAGTGCTATGGGTATGGCGGGATTGAAAACCAAGATCAAATATGTAGGAGGCAGTGTCGAGGCTGCTTGCGCTTTGGGTGTGGCGGACGGAATCGTTGATCTCGTTGGTATGTGTCGTGTCGTCTGTTGTTTCCATGACAAATTAGCTAGGTTTATTTGCTTATGAAAACCCCCCACAGAATCTGGTGAGACGATGAGAGCGGCAGGGCTCAAGCCGATTGCGACGGTTTTGGAGACTACGGCGATTCTTATCAAATCTAAGCACCCGTCGAACCCGCAGCTCATCAAAACGATTGAGTCCAGAATACGCGGTGTCATTAGTAAGTCCCCCGCCCCGCAATTTCCACCAAATCAGGTATTAATTTCATGATAAAGCCGCCAAAAAATACGTGCTCTGCACATACAACGTTCCCCGGAGTAAGCTTGAGTTAGTCAAGACTATCACTCCTGGTAAACGCGCTCCCAGTGTGACAATTTTGGAAGAGGAAGGATGGGTTGCGGTGTCGGTCATGGTGGAGAAGCGTAAGATCGCTAATATCATGGACAGGTATGTTTAGACCCCTCCCTCCTCTTTGCTAGAAGCAGCCGCTAATATCTTCTTCTTGCAGCCTTGAGGAACTGGGCGCCACAGACATCTTGGTGACAAATATTGCCAACTCAAGATCTGCGCCCGACCCGCCAGCTTCGGCTTAAATGTGTTTTTTTTTTTTTTTTGATGAGATAGATATCCCAGGATTTTCTCCCTCCTATTTCTTTTGTCCAAGTTAATTTATTTTGTTTATAAAAGCAAAGCTCGATGCTGAAATAAAACCTGCTATTACGTTATTATTAACCGATATTATGGTTCTCATTCGTTGCTGTCATCGTTAAAAGAAGAAAAAAACCGGTGCGGGGGGGGAGACTTTGCAGTCAATCCCTCCTGTGATTCTGACATCCGCATCAGAAACAAGCATTTTAATCTCGGCTGAACCTTATATGGTCAAGATAAGGATATCGACCCATCAGTCTTTTTCCTCTCCCCTAGTATTTCCAGTATTTCCCCCTCTTATTCCCACCCATTTCCCCCAGTCTTCACCGTCATTCAGAAATTTTTATGTATGACATCGATTCACATCGTTTCTCGTTGTTTCTGTCGCAAGCGGGGTCTTTTTCAGCCGGCAGTTGAGCGGGGCTTTTCCTCTCATATGGCCATGGCCAAAAAAAAGCAAAGTGAAACAGTTCATAAACTCTCACTCGAGGCATGCCGCATGCACGTCATCGTAGATTTCTGAAGCACGCGGTTGCGACAACTTCCACTTATTCCAACGCTTTCAACCGATCTCCGTGCCTTTTCTCATTTTCACCCACACACTAAGGTAACACTCCTCTTTGATTTGCCTGTTTTTCCAGTTTCCATATGACTGGTTCGCGAACACAAAGCCTTAGGCCTTGGCAAAAGCTGAGAAAAGAACCCCGCCGACTCTCCGGTCCCCCGCCCCCGCCTCAATTTGGTTTTACCATCAATCCATCTCATGGCAAACTCCAAAGACCAAATCCTCAGGCGTCTAGGAATCTCCGAAGGCGCGTATTCCCAGATACGAGTCAGTATCTCTTTCTCTCTATTCTTCTCTGCTTCTCGTAGCAAACTTACCCGTTTTCTCGGATCTCGCTGACGGCTTCAGTAGGAGTTTCTACGGAAAAACGTTGATTGGACTGCTTTCGCCGGTGGTTACGAGGGCTTCACGGCCCTCCCGGAGGAGAATCTGGCAAACCTGAAGCAGAAGCTGGTCAGGCGGTTCCCCGCGCTCGACGGAAAGGACGACGAGATTGTCTGGATTATCAAGAGACGATATCGGAATCACCAAACCATAAAGAAGCGGAAAGAGAAGCGAGCTAGCCGTCTGGCTTTCCTAAGCTTAACTTTTTGGCCCTTCTTTTTATGAAGGGCAGTCCGAATATGGAGCTGACCTTGTCTATGTTTTTTCTCTGTTTCTAGGACTCATCGGAGAACGCAAGACCGACGAAATCCGCATCGTTGACGAAGCACGAACTCGCGATAGTCACATCGACAAACGGCGCGTGGCTAGCATCAACTATCTGCTAAATCCATCATGATACTCGCTTTCGGCTAGCCGAGGATCGTGGAGGAAGGATTTGGACTTCTGAGGGAACAAAAAACAAAAAAATACAATAAGTTGAGACACATAGAGAGTTCTAATACCCATAAGCCGTTTACGGCTAGTGAATGTACCATCCCGGTTGCTTGTTACAGTAAAGGCGTTTGGTTCTATTATTCTCGAGATATTCCTGTCATCAAGAGAAATTCTATATATCTGGGGGCAGGCATAGCCAACGCATTTTCTTGTATTAAGATATCATGACTCTCAGCATCGGGATGAGAGCCTAGAGTTTAGTTCCGCAGAATTGACGGATCACTTCGTTTCCTAGAGTCGTTACATATGTGGGGTAAATTTTCTTTTTAACGCTTTTGAGAAGACTGGGAGTCTTCCGAATCAAACAATAGACAAACTCGGTT